ATCTTCTCCATGTGTAAAGACATAAAGGCAGCAATCAAGTCACCTCATGCCTCTCTGATTAAATGTGAATGCTAAATTGAACAGGTTGGTATCTGGACCACATTTTACCAGAGGCTGACACTAGTGGTGTCTGGAATGGGGGTATTGGTAACTGTAAGTACAGAGATTATGGGACTGAAGGTATTGCCTGTCTTGGAAATCTGTTCCTCTATTTGTGATTTAGGGGGCTGAAGCTGATGGTTTAATAAGATCCCCTCCACAAGAGCTGACTGGGCATGTACCATAGAAACAAGTTTCTGTCAGAAAAGGCTTTTTCAGAACTGAAATGCTTTGTAAATACATTTCAGCTGAAAAAGATTCACTGAGTTTTGGGACCAGCTTCCTAGAAGGGCTGCTGAGGAACCAATGCCCCAAAAATACGCATTAAGACAACTGATCATATCTGCAGACATTCCTGGCTGCTCCCAGCTCCCTGGTGGTCTGTGCAGGTATGAGCTTCCCATTGGGATTGGCCCAAGATTTGTGGATAAACTGCACCAGAAAATAATGATCACTACAAGCCCCACCTGTTCCAAGGGCAAGACAAATGTTTAACCTTGCTTCTTCACAATACATGGATAGCAACCTAGTTATCCAGGCAACCTAATTGTGTAAAAAAACCTGCCAAAACAAGCCAATTCACACTTCTTGCCTGGCAGAAGAGATAGTATGTAACAGATAGTAGTCACAATGCTTAATGTGCCCCAAATATTTTACATTAAGAAGAATAGAGAAAATGTGATTAACTGAAGAAAAAACGGTTATGAAGTAAGATTAAGAAGCTATTCAGAATTACTGAAGCCTTCAACCACGATGAAAACATCCTTTTTTTTTTATTTAGCAGGCACGCTGGCTTCAGCAGCTTATCAAGAAAGCATTATAGGGAGCCAGCAGCAGAATTGTTAACAACCACACTATTCTGTTTCACTTTTCTAAAGACATTTTTTAAAATGCAGTTCCCATTCCATCAATGCCCACTTTAATTTATAGGACAACACCTTAATTTTTTTTTTTTCACTCAGATGTCATTCCATAGGATATCCTAAGGAGTTACTACCTCCAGGAAATGTGAAGCAAGCAGCTGGTATGAAGTAAATATAATTCCTTATGAGGTTCACTGCAACTGATGCAATAGCAGTTCCCAAATCTATGGCATTAGTATTTGACTATGCTAGAAATAGCATAATGAAGACAACCCATTAGCTTGTCCAGAGAAATCAGGGGGCACAGTTTGTTTGTGACAGTCGGAGAATCATAAAAAGTAACCAAGGGTAAGGTGACAGACTGGGCATTGACTGCAGAATCTCATGCATTACTGCACATGCATGGCAAGATTCAGTAAGAGGCTTCTGCACAGAGCAGTTCCTGCTGCATTGTAGCTGGAGGTACACATGCAAGCCTTCTATGCTGTCCGGATTGATTTCAGACTGAAGGGAGAGCTACATGCTAAGAATTATTTCCAGCTCCTAATTACATATTATGAGGATTTTCACACTGGAGATGTGGCAAATGCAGACTTTAATAAATTTCAGTCATACAAAGGTTCTAAAGCATAAGTCTTACCTATCCTATAATTTCTATATAGATGAGAAATTCAGTGTCAGCTGCTGTACCACAAGTGAAATCTGACTCATTCACTCAGTGCTAAGAGGAAATACATTCATATGGGAGGCTATTTTTAATATAAAATTCTTAGCTGTTCTTTCAGTTAATTTGTTTATGGGTTTGTATATGTCAAAGTTTCAGCTGGTTAACCTTCTCTGTTCCCACCTATATTTTTCAAGAACCATGCTTCAGAATGTGGTAGGATGTAAAATTGCATTCAATATGTGGATCATTTTAAGTCAGAGACAGACGAGTTCTAAGGCTAACCCCACTTAAAGGAGAAACCTCTCTGATTTCAGTGGACTCTGGATTAGGTGTTTTGTTAGAGTAAATCTGGGGCTAAGCTACAGACAACTATTGATTTGTTAAACAAGTCACTCTGGTATTAATGAAAGCGCTTAAAACACCTTGCAGCATTCTTTAGATCCCTGGAAAGCTCTAATGCATTGCTTATAACTAAAAATGCATAGGAACTGTCTTTACAGAGATCTTTTGCTTTGGATGAGGGATTATTAGTTGCCCAGTTGTTGTTTACTGGCTTGCTATAGTAAATTGTCTGTTGAACTTTGAATTTAATTGCCTTGCAGATCTTCGGTTCTGATAACCACTCAGGAAAACAACATTGACGTAGTCTTAGATTGGCAAAGACAACATATCCATAAAGCCATAGATGTGTTCTGCACATACGCTGCATGATGTCTCAAATTCCCTTAGAAAACCAAACAAGAAGGAAAACATATTCTACTTTAAATATTATTGTTACAAATGCAGTTACAATGCTGTAAGCCCCAATCTCTGTCCCCATTGCAAATCTGTAACAAGTGCACTGACATCCAGGACAGTTCTGAATTAGATCAGGATACTTAACATCAAAAAGCACATCTAAACACAATTACTGATACATTTTACCTGAGATATTACGACAAAATTCAGGAGATGACCACACTCTCATGGAAGATGACTGAGGTAACAGCTGCATTCCAGTGAAGTCACCCCAAAGAGGTCAGCTTCCATTTCCTAAGTAACTTTTCAGATTTTCCTAGTGTATTTTCTGATCCATAATATAAAGTTAAAGGGTGTGAGGGAAAAAAACCCCAACTCTGTAAGATGACCATTTTTTGTGAAATCTGACGAGTCACGCTGACAGAGAACAATTGACTTCATCCCTTTCAAGTTCTATAGATACTTTCATCATCTGTTCTAACACAAAATGCTTTTGCCTTAAAGAAATTTTACAGGCCACATGAGGATCCACACTACCTAGAAGTGTAACTGATCCACTTTTAAGTGCAGTGCTTAAGAGTACCCCTAAAATGCCTTCTGTGTCATACTGTGGCACAGCACCCTTGAGAGCTGCTAAAATGCCAACGTCATACCAAGAAATGTGTTCTCAAGCCATAGTGACAGGTTGTTTTTTGTCGCTACTCTCTGCTGAAGACAGATTTTAACTTAAATACTTTGATGGCAGTGATGAGAATGACATACAAAGGTGGTTTTGTGTTCATGACAATGGTAGTAAATGGGAAAGCAGAAAAACATTGACTTCACTTGGTTGAAACCTTCCACGTAGTAACGAGAAAAGAATCCTGAATTGCTTCAATACTGTGAGCAATGCAGTTTTAGTCCTACATATTGTCATCAGGATCACTAAGATTATCAAAGAAGAACTAGCTCTTTATCTGTGCCTCCTGCATGATCTGTTTTTAGTAGTACTGTGTGGAAGAATATCTTAAATAGACAGATGAGTTAAAGAGAGTGAGTCTCATTTCTAGTTACAATAGTATAAAGCTTTTTGCAGCACATCGCAGCAACGTAACTATGTTTTAATATCTAATGCTATGAGCCCCATATTCTAATGTTTATGGAAGCCTATGCCAAGAAAATATGCACTTGTGACCCAAAAACTGCATAGTGTCATTCAGAATAAGAACCCATGGTATAAATGTAAATATAATCCATTAATTTTTCATTGTTTTTCTTCTTCAGTTTAATAAGTTACCTACCTCTCTGCATTTACTCCCTAGCATTTGCTTAATAGAGGATACACAAGCTGCTTTTTGTTAAGCAGAGAAAACCCTCCTTTTCTCTATGCTGTTACATAAAATTCACCATGTTCTCTTCAGAGAATGGAAAAATAGCAATTTCTGGTAATCAAGCATGGATATATGGAAGTCAGCTAATAACTCTGAGTTTTAAGACGCATCCAAAATGCGGATTTCTGACATCAGTAAAAAAAAAAAAAGGAAAACAACACATCACCTAAATTACCTCACAGCTATTTGCATGAAGAGGCAGTACAGTATAAGTACAGAGACACAAGCCACCCAAAGAGAACTTAGCAGCAGTTCTATTGGATACCGTGTGTGTCTGCAGCAGAGAAAGGGCAATTTTGAAGCTTATATGTGCAAACAGCTTTAAAGGACTAAACAACCTCTTGGCAGATGTATCAGGCAAAAATCTGAAGCTACAAAGCAGGTAATTTACAAAATTTCCTTTTTAACTGATTCTAACTTTTCATTTAAAGATTGCTCTGAGGTGAATAGCCTATGTGATATTCTTAGGGCTGTTATCCAAGGGCTTCATCAGAAGTGGTAGAAATCTGCCAATACTGGAGGTAAGAAATTAATTCTTTATTTTAAAAATGTATATAACTTGATGAAATTGTGCATCTCTTTTATGTTCTAAAGATATAATTAACCTAAATGACTGCTACACCAGTATTAAACATTTATTCCATTCTACTGAAGGAACTCTGCTTACTGGAAAATAAATCCCTAAGTGTTAGGAATTACAGTGCTAGCTAGAAGAAACAGAAAAACACCTGTTACCTGGGTCAAAGGTACTAGAGGATAGGATTATCACTATTGTCTCTGAAAAAAGGAGAGGTGCTTCCCCAGTGCAAGAAATCTCCCTGACCAACAGAGCATAGCTGTCATTATATTGACAAATACAGACACACAGCTACATAATATCTATCTTTACACATTTAAAATTAACAGACTACTGAAGTTGGGCTTTAACTAAAGGTGTAATGAAAGCATTGCAAATCCCCGTATGATTTTAAAGGGAACCCTTAGCAAAGGGAATTGCCTGGTGGAGATTTAGTGTAGGTATACGTGTGTGTACCTTACACGGGGCAAGAGTTAACAGAGTTCAAGAGGAAAATTATTTTTGCCTCTTGACAAAAGACAAAGCAAAATCTCTGGCTTCCAGAACTATCTGTGCATCAGGAAGTTAGGCATTTAAAATGTTTGTATTTATTCTGCCAGAAAAATTAATAAATGCCTGGTTTTAATTATGAAGAATTTACAGATTCTTTGAAGAACATAAACTAAACTGAGAGGTTAGTAACAGAAATGAGGAAGGACCCTCAGAGATTTCAATCCCTACAGCAAAGCCATATTTGTTTTTCAGAATATTGCTGTTATTGCTTGGTTTGCTCCATCCTCCTCTCCTGTTGTTCTCTCTCCCACGGAAGCTGCAGGAACCCCCATCCCACAATGCCATCTATCCAGCTGCCACTGCTACTCCTCTGCCTGACCTTGTGTGGTACTTGCCTCAGTGGGGGGCAGCCCCTTCCAGAGGGAAGCGAGAACATGGGAAGAAGTCCCCTGGATGACATCCTGCAGAGATCCGAAAGCCTCATTCTTCAGTCTGTCCTCAAGAAAGCTGAAAAGGAAGAAGAGATGAATAAAGGTATATGTAACACTGGAGACACCCATCTGGTGATGTTGGCATAGTATTGGGCTGAGATGATTAGATCCAATGTAGATCCAGGCTCTAATGTATATATTTGTTACTCTAAGGAGAGGGGAAGAACAGGAGGTCTGCTGCATTACACTGACACAGAGCTCTCAAAAGGTGCCTTCTTCTCCAAGATCTCCCCCAACCTAGGCAATCATGTACCATTGCTGAGCAGCTGCTACTTAGCAAGAAGTTAGACACCCGTCACAGAAAACTTGTCTGGCTGGCAAGTACTTCCCTAGGGAAGCTCTGAGGACATATGGAGGACATTCCCCAGTTGTGGACCCTTGTACCCAGTGTTAACTGGAGGTGGGAGTGCTGCCGTTCAGCTGCTACCCCAGCCCACTGGGGTTTCTAAACACCAGCAGAAGTGGGCTTTTCTGTGGCTGGGAATGCAGAGGCTGCTCTAGTGTCTGCCACCTCCTGGCTTGCAGATGCCATGGCCTCAGTAGTCACGGCCGTGGAAGCAAATCAGACTCTGGAATTGCAAGCAGCAGCACATAAGTGCCTGCCACTAACAAGGAGCACAGAGCCTTTTCTGAGTGGAAAGAGGAGCTGGCCACAAGTACCCATAAGGGAGCATTCCTCTCTTCACACAAGTGCTGAGAGTTGGTCATGTTGATCCAAGACCTGAAATATTAAAAAATATTAAAAAGAATAAGTAAGATATACTAGTGGAGTTATGGTTGGTAGCTGGAAATATTTGAGCTTTCAAAAGTCCAAATCCCTGCTTCTGCTTGAGTCTCAGCCCCTGTTTCATGCCGATTCCCAGCTCTTCTCCAAACCCAGCTTCTGCAGCTGATTTCTTCCATCTGCTCAGCATCTTTTACTCACCTCCCTTTGCCTGAATCTGACACATTTACCCGGATCAACAGATTAGGCTTTGTCATTGCATGTCTTCCCATTTGGCTGCAGCTGATTCCTAAGGTATCAACCCATCCTTGCTAAAAGCGTGCCAGAACTATTTTGACAGACGCTATCCAGAGTGATCAAATTCAAAACCATAGAGTTAACTGCAAATAAATGGGCATAATGAGCAACAGATTATGATCCTGCTCCACAGAACTCAAATTCCCATTAAGGCTTCCTTAGTGAGGATTATGTGGGCTCATTAACATTATTCTTTTCCTTGAACAGAATCAAATGTCCCTCTGCTAGAATGGCTTTCCAAAAGACAACACCCTGGGAAAAAGTACCCAAGTGACCTGGAGAAGAGACAGCATCCTGGAAAAAGAGATGTTGAGGAAGACACATTTTATGGAGACATTCAGAAGAGGCAACATCCAGGGAAGAGAGAGATAGAAGATGACCTTGACAGCTATTTGGAGCTGAAAAAGCGACAGCACCCTGGCAGAAGGTCATTGTCAGACCAGTATGCCGACAACCCTAGTGCACAGCTAACCTATTTGAATGAGTTATCCAAAAGACAGCATCCAGGCAGAAGGTTTCTGATGTACAACCGCCAGCATCCTAGCAAAAGAGGCTGGAATGAGGAGATAGACCTAAATGACCAATATTATGAGAAGCGCCAGCACCCTGGAAAAAGGTACTGGAATTCTGACAGCCCAGATGATGGAGGCCCCTGCAACCTTCAGGAGTCCATCACCTGTAACAAAGGCAGCTTGTTGCTTGATTTAGTAGAAAACGTTAGCAAGGACAGGTTAGAAGAAAAACGTCAGCACCCAGGAAAGAGATCAGCACGGGAGAGGGAAACAGAGGAATGAGAAAATAATTGTGTATCATTTTCATGTTGGAATTAAACTGCCAGATCACAAAAACAAAAAAATCTGTTCGCTCCCTGCTGCTGACCTCTGCACCTATCTTCCAGTGTGTTAATGCTCCCATTTAAGGTAATGGCTTTGTCACACACTTAAAGGAACTAAAAGGACCCAGTTGACTGGGACAGGCCAGTACTAAGAGTCTTCAGCTCTCCAGTTTAGGAAGTTGAGTCCTCATTTCCTTATGGGCCCAGACCCCAGAATAATCAACTCTGTCCAATTTTCTGTTCCCACATGACTTAAACAGGCTCTTAGATATCTGTTATGATGCTAATAAAGTGGAATAATTATATGGTTTCCTCTCATGTTAGTGAAATCAGTAAATTAGTCAAGAGAGGAAAAGGAACATGTCAATTATTTCAAAATGAAATTGAATATGTTTTCAGTTCTAAATGATACATTAATGAGACCTGAACCCTTGTGCGCTACAATCTGTCCAGACAGTAAGCACTAAGGAGAGGTAGGAGCTGTTCCAACTGGAACAGATAACTGGCTTCAGAGTTTGACTTGGAACTGGCATATAAAACCCCTTCTTAACTAAAAGGCTGCACAGCGCAAAGGGTTAATGTATCCCAGAGCATCTCAACTGCAAGTTGTGAACCTGACTTCATACGCCTCATACTAGAACTCCCACCCTGGTGTGCCCACATTTCAGACATGCCACTCAAAATCATGCCTTCTCAGACATATAAAAGTGAAACAAACAGGCATTCTTTTCTTCCAACAAGGATTTCTGATGTCTCTCCTCTCAAAGGAATGCTTTTACTTTCCATGGTCAAACTCTCAAAAGTGTTTATTTGATATGATTGATTCAATAAATATCAATACTCAACTCTGAGTGTCCTTATTAGTTGTGGAAACATACTGTAATAGAGTGACAAACATAAAACCAACCTAAGCTAAATAAAAATAAACAAAGGGTATTTCTCCAGGCACCATCTTCCTGCATGCTAGTGGTCAGCACATGTTTATACATAAAACTGTTTTGCTGCTGAAGTGGAAGAATGATTTGCATATAGATAGATGTCCTTTCTAAATCTTCGACCTGTATGGCACGCAAAATTACACATCTGGGCTAAAACCACAGCAACCTTGTCACCTTCTTCACAGGGAACTTCACTCAGGCTGATTTCCTGTTCACAGGTCTGAACTGATTTTTGAAATTAATGCACAGTTAGAGTGCACTGAGTTATTCATATCCATTCTTGTGCATTCAAAGATGTTAGAACGTGTCAATATTTCACCAGAATGTGTTTTTTTATAAAAAAATGAGTTAGTTTTCCACTGACATTCACCCTTCTCAACACCATCAAGAGATATTAAGTGCCTTGCATGTTCCTTTTAAATATGATTGTTTCCCCACTCAGTGCCTCAGCATACTTACTCAGTAAAGTTAGTTTTTCCATATGGTTTAGTTCCACTGAAGAATGGATGATTCATCATCCAAGCAAGTTTTACTGAATGCTGCCAGGCTGATCAACACTTAACATGGTCTATCAAGCATTTCTAACTTCAGAAATAATACACTGTTTAATAGATGGGACAACTGGCAGACCTCTTCTATTGACAGGGGATTTCTAACTAACAAGTGCTGAAGAAATCCTCAGATGATGTAGCTGGGAACACTCCATACACTTCAAATTCTTTCAGCACACTTCCTGTATATTATGCCTTTTAAAATGTTCAGTTTTCATGTTATAAGGGAACAAAAAATTTCTCTCTCTAGAGAATACATTCTATATAGGATTTCCAGCAAGGAATGAATGCTTCTTAGACCGCAAGGAATGCTACTACGCAAGACCACCACCACTTGCTATAAAATGTCCAAAATATGTGGAAAAACTGGACAGAAAAAATTACCAAGTGGGTAAACACAGGAAATAGCAAAAATGAGTCATAGTTCCTGCAAGACAAGGATGCTGCTCTGACTGTCACAAGAAAGCCAAGGTGGGGAAGGGACAGAAGCATGAAAGCAGAAGGTCAACGTTTTTAATATGCAGCTACAAACAGCTATTTCAGGGCACTAGATTACTGCCTATAAAGTCTACCATTTTGAGTAAAACCTCAGATACACTTCATTATCAATAAATCAATCACTTAGTAAAACCAAAAAAGTAAGCTCTCCTCTCAGGGTGGCCAGCAAAAAGCTAGCACCACTGACTTTATGTAAGTCTGATTTTTTAATCTTCTGTATTTTAGGTTCTGAGTGCTCCAATATTTTCAGATATGGCAGGTTCTGTCAGGGGCTAGTCATCTGTTTAAAAGCAAGGCCATTACTACTATAATTTAAAGATATTATTTCTATTGATTTTGAGTGGTTTTGATGGGGTTTTGTATTTTTCTTTGTAATAAGCCAAGCATGAGCTAATAGCACTTTACAGTACTATCATGTCAGCAGTTTTTACAACTTGCCTTAGTTTGGAGCTGCTGAAAATGCACTTGCCTGGCTGGGAGAGGCACAGTGCGAGCAGATATTGGGAGAGCTCTGACTGATTTCAATTGTTATTAAAAAAAAAAAGCCCACAAAAAACTCCCAATCAAACTTTATTACTCCTGCAAAAGGTCCCTGGTAAACAACAGAAACTCTCACGGATTCCTGAACAGGGGTAGGACCACATGTGAAAGACCCACTTCCAAGTTGTGTAGGCCAGAAGCCAGTTCAAAGGACAAGTCAGATTTCCATTCAGAAAAGCACATGTACATGTCCTGATGCTGGCCTGACATGTCCATCAACAGAAAGCAGCATAATTTGGAGACAGAAACAAAAGTCCTGAGCTCTTGTCAATAACCTAGGTTTGAAAATCCTTGAAACTCAGAGGGTGACCCCGGAAACAGAACAGAGTACAGAAGAACTTTCTGCATCATATTGCCCATGTATACAATGGTCAGAAGAGTCAGCAAATCTGCCACTGAGGCACCATAAAAATGCCACCATCACTGCCAAGTAGCCAGAAATGTGACAACCCTGACAGAAATCCCAAGAGGATGAAGTAGGATGCTCTTAACCTTTCACAGATATTTGTCTAACCATAGCTAGTTGTAGTTCTCTTTAATACTGGGGTCCCTGCACCTACATGATTATTTTGATTAGGCTAAACATGGCTCATAGAGATACACATCTCTCAAAATACTTGAGGATAGGGCTACAAATGCAACCTAGGAAAGAATAAAATCAATCACCGAATGCATATTTTGCAGGTAGGTTACAAGTTGCACCTGGTGGGGATCTGAACCTTAACTAAAACCATGCATTTTTTGAAACATAATGCCATTTAAAAAAGGGGAACAAAAATCACATTTTTTTCCCATTTTACATTACATTTTCCCATTTTTCCCTTTCAAAACTATCATTTACTTGCAATGGAGAAAATTACTCAGTCACTCTATTACCTGCATAAAAGTCTGTCACTCAAGAAGGCGGGTTTTCATTGGGAAAAAACAACATATTTAAAAAAAAAGCAGAACTCTTAAAACATAACTCAAAACAATATTTCAACCTTGCCAACAGAACTTGCCCAGACTTTTGGTTTTGATTGGAACTACATTTTGTCTCAGTATCTGCATTAAAATTGCACCTCTCGCTTTCTTTCCGTCTTCTGCAGTGCTGCAGGCACACCACCGTTTGAGTACAACATTCTTCCTCCTACAGACATCATTCTCTGTCATTTGTGATTTGAGTTTTGTGACTATAACACACAAGCACAAGTCCTGAAGTTAAATGTGTCACATTCACCCTAAAAACTTTTGGCTCTGGAGTTTGGCTAAGGGACACCAGAAAAGAACTTATTCTACAATATAACAGTCTGCTTCTTTGAATAGTAAGGGTAGTGCAACCTCTTAGGAAGATGAACTACACAGGGATAGTAGTGTAGTTATAAGTTAAGACACTGTTAATAGCATATGTCTCATCATTTTATTGTATACCTCGCCCCCACAGTTATCTCCTTAGAATTTAACATCCATGCAAACATCTACGCATTACTGTCTTTGCTCAGTCACACACAAAAATGTACTTGCTCACTTTGATAACTTCAGGGCCTTTAAGTTGCAAAGTTCCTTGAAGAAGTGTGCTATCTGTCTGCAAGGCAGTTTGTGGTTTTTCAGACTTGATGATAAATCAATAGCAGACTTAGTCCAAAGGTCATGGAAGTCAGTGCAGAATCTGGATTAGGTCCACAGAGCAGAGCTGTGCACTGGCCCTAATGTGGCACCACATTCATGCAAAATTTTATTGCTGGCTTTAATTAAGACTAAATCAACGGTGCACAGATGAGTTCTTTGTTTACTCTACTGCAGTTTCACATTTCTGGAATGTTACCAGTTACTGAGACATAAGGGACTTAGATTCCTAAAGAGCAACTTTTAAACGTGTCTTCAAAATGAGCTTTGTTTTCAACAGCAGGGTAAAGTTGATGAGAAGAAGCTGTATAATTAACATTTCCTGCAACTATTTTCAACTCCTCTCACTATTACCCCTCCCACACACTTATCAGCCTTGACCTATTTGCTCACCCACTGTAATTAGAATGGGCTGAGACAAACCTCTTTATTACTACTTTTAACGACTCATTAGTTGGAGAAAGTTTGAAAACAACACTATCACCATAGCTGAAGTATAGCTAGTATCTAGATGATAGTATGGTGATACTAGATATAGTATCACCATAGCTGAAGCACCAAGTATACCACTGCTTGCCTGGTAGCTCAGTTAACATTAAACAGGCAACTGCACTTTTAAAGCATCATTCAGGACACTGCTATGAATAAAAGCTATGATCAAAAGTAGTCTTTGTTATCATGTGGGTACCAGTTGGATGCAGGGTGTAGGCTGGCTTAACCTTGGTGACACCTCCAAGCGAGGCAAGCCCTCTTCCTCATCATAGAATGGTTTGGAAAGGACCTTAAAGATCATCTAGTTCCAAACCCCTTGCCATGGGCAGGGACAC